AGAGAGAGAGAGAGATTATAATTAATTACTTTTTGGTAAAAATAAATTAATGAGTATTTTTAGAAACTTCAAAATCACATAATATTTATATATAAAAAAGTTATTGGCGAATTGTAGTGATTAAAAAAAAGACTTATGACTACATTGATTTCTTTATTCGAACATTATATCCGTAGGAGTTAATTTCCAAGAACGAGGCTGAAATTACAAATATAAAAGCCAAATATGAAGAATGCATGAAAGTATTAAAAGAGGAAAATAAAATGTTGGCCGATCGTTTAAACAAAGAATTGCCAGACTTGGAAAGTAGGCACGCCAAGGAACTTTCCGTCTTTCAAACGCAGTTAGCTCACTATAAGAAAACTGTTGAAGCATTAAAACTCGAACTAGTAAATCACGCTGAATCGCAGAAGATCGCTCAGTCGGAAGTCCATATGTACAAAACGAAACTCGACGAATTAAGATTCGAAGCGGAAAACGAACGGCGCATGCAAAGTCTGCATTTCCAAAAAGAGAAAGAATTGTTGAACGAGCAGATCAGATTGCATAAAATTCAATTGGAAGAAATAACATCGAAGCATATTGCGACAATGAGTATTCTTGAATCTAAGGAGAGTATTGAGCGATCACTAGAACAAGCTTTATCGAATGCCGCTGCGCTGAAACAGGAAAACAATACATTGAAATTTAAACTGGACGATTTGTCATATAGATATTCCACAGCACAATCAATAATCGAAAACAGTCAAATACATGATAGGACTCTGAGCGGTAAGCTATGCGAAATGGAGAGATCCCTATCACGATTCGATGCTACGAGTGTAAGCACGATCAGCGAGCTAGGGGAAACTATGTACAAGACTTTCGATGAAGATGTTGTCCAGCATCAACTGACGAAGCGAAAACTCGAGGAGAAAACAGAGATGGAAAAATTGTTAACAGAGAAAATTCGCGTTCTCGAGGCAAACTTGTCCAAAGCGAACAACGAATTAGAACAAGCCGACATTGCAAAGAAGACGTATGAAAAGCAGATGAAGGACATGAAAAATACATGCGATAAGCTGCAGCAAGAAGTTAATTCGTTGAGAGAATTCAATCATGCGACATCTCGCGATACTTCCATTCAGGAATGTCAAGAAGGCGTTCTGGCAAATGTTGACAGCGAGTTGACTCGGCAAATACAGGATCAACAACGGGAAATTGAAAGTTTGAAGCTATTAGTGGAGCAGAAAGAAACGGAGAACGCGAGAGGTAAGAAAGATTTGGTTGAAATGATGGAAAAAACGAAGAAAATGGAAATGCATTGCGAGCAATTGAAAAATGGCTTGGCTCATGCGTGGGCGCAGTGCACCGAGTTGGAAGAAAGATTGAACCAGACCATGAGCGATAGTAGTAAAGTTAACATTTCCCTAAACAGCACGATATCGTCCAAGCACCTTAAAGAGAATCAAAGCTTGAACGATAACACAATAGATGAAAATGCAGCCAATCAGAGGAAAGCTTTGGAGCCGAGTATCTCTGATACTAGCACATTAATGGATAATGGTTACCTGAAAAACAATGAGAGTTTATATAAAGAATTACAACAGATTCTGAAGGGCGAGCCGAGCTTAGACGAAATTAAGTTAAAATTATCTCGTTATTATGCATTGTGTGAGAAGATAGCCGCCGATAAGACTCAATCCTCGATAGAAAATCTCACTTTACAAAAACAGGACAGCAAGGACTCACTGCAAAGGTTGGAAAATTTATGGGCGGAGAAGGAGTTGCTTAGCCAAGAAATCGAGGATATAATGAATCGACGTAAGGAAGAGCTAGAATCTGTTAAAGCGGATTCTGCCAAGGAAATCAACAGACTGCGTTCATTACTGCAGAATTTGAAGGCAAGTCTTTTTTATTCTTATATGATTCAGTAATTGTTCATATATTTTTAATTAAGCATCGAGAGATATATCCTTGGTTTCCTAAAGTTTTTATATTTTTTTATTTCTTAAGGATGGAAATGCGAATTTAAATGATCTGAGAACCGAACTCGAAGCACGACACGCGAAAGAGATGGAAGAACTGAGGACTTATTTCGAGCGAAAATGTTTGCAGATGGAAAAACAGTATTCCGAAGAAGTTTTCAGCCAACAATCGAAACGGATTTCCGACAACGACAGCGAAACCGAAGAGTTGACGGACGATTTGTATTTTGGTGGTGCTGGAGATTGTTTGAACATATCAAACTCCCGAGCAGCGACGCCTGGTGCTATCGAGGAATCCCTGAGGAGCAAAATTCTGGATGTTGAAAACCAAACACGTCTTGAGACAGAATACGAGAGCAGCATCCAAGTATTGCGACAAGAATTGGAATACAAAATTAATGAAATTCAAATTATCAAGACTGATCACGAAAAAGCGATTGAAGAGCTAAAGAAAATGTACGAGTGTCAAATTCGCGACATCGAGGCGAAACTGGAACATACATTGATCGCACCAACTGTACATCAGGTAAGAAAAAATTGTCCGCTCTTATCGTGGAGAGTCCGCTTAATTTGTTATTATTAAAATTAACTGATTTGTCGACAATAACAATTAATTTTAATGCGTGTTGTACAAAGATTTGTGGAATGTATGAAAGTGTAGATGCATGGCGTGATCAATATGCATTAATTATCATCAATACATTTCTCATCTTGTGCGATTTCGAGTTCCATAATTACTTGTAATGTCTATTGTACTTGTAATGTCTATTGTATTGTCTCCTTTATTTGTTGTAATTAATATTTCTCGTTAGCAGTGAAAAAAATAGATTATTTGTGTCGTGTTTTGATGTTGATATGCATATTTCCTTGTGACTAACATATCGCCGTGTGACTTCCTGTTTGCACGTAGTATTGTCAGACAGAATGGGAAGCATTGGAGAATGGTGAATTGTTGAGTCTGCGTGATACCTATAATCATCAATTGAAAGAGCAGATCGAACTAGCTAGACTGGATATTGTCAACGCTCTTCAAGAAAAAATTCAGGTAGATTATGTGGATTATGTATCGATCATTTTTAATTAGTTTGAATAGTTATATGCTTCGAATATATTCTAGAATAAAATAATTTCTGCATATTACTGTGTGTGCACTCATAAAATTTTTTGTTTTACCTGGATATATTCATTAGAAGCTATTAGATATTTACTGTTGTAAATGTTTGTTTAATTATATAGGCACTATTGTCGGTGGACGCAGACAAAGAAGATAATTGGCCGGCCGAGTTATTAGAACTGCGAGATAAATTTACATGCAACGCTAAGCAAGAAATCCAAGAGTTGAAAAAAATGCATGGCGCCGAATTAGCTCGTTTGAAAGATGAGCACAGTTGCATTGTAGCACAAATGCTGGAACAACATCAGAAGGAAATTACCATTTTTAAAGCAAGCACAGACAACAAGCAAGAAGTTAGTTGTGTCGGAGCGTCAGAAAATATCCTGAAAGAGAGGTAATTGATGAGCTGAAACAATATTTTATTGTAGGAAATAGAAATTTTAACCAAATCACACGGGCTCGAATTCAGGATTGTTTACTATCCGTGATATTTAGTCTACATGACTATAACAGTTTTTTACCGATATTTATTTACATTTCAAATCTTCTCGCTTAATGATCATTTCTTGCTTATATTATGATTTAACAAAAAATTTAAAAAAGAATGAATTGTAAAAAAAATGTTTTATATTTAATTACATTTATTTTAAAGTATGCAATCTTAATTGATTTAATATATATATTTCAAAAATATTTGATATACTAATAACTAAAATTAGTAGGATTTTTTTTATATTATATGTCGTGATTTCTATTTAATTCTATTTTATTTCTATTTAATAAGTATTTCATAAGTATTGCTTGTATGTTGTGTCTTATGTTTATCAGAGACAATCTATGGAAAGTATGTATAACCCTCAAGAATCTAATTGGGGAATTGGTTAGTTACTTTGCTGTCTGTGAGGAAGAAGTTAACAATACGCTTATCAATGAGGTTTTGAAAAAGCAATTGACGGAATCCGTTTTTACTAATGAAGAAAATTTAAGACAGGATGATAACACTACTTTGCCTGAAATACAGAATTCATCCAACCAACAAATCAAGAGAGTTCATTTTGCTCCACAATCCAGTAAAATAACTTCCATCATTAATAGCGATAACAAAACATTGCAGAGTTTAATTGATGAAGACATAGATGAGATATTAAAAAAAGAGTTGAAAGCTTGTTTGAGACGCTTGAAGTCGGATAGCACACAAATCCTCAATCTTTCCTTTTTTGATGTTGAAGAGAAAACCGTATCATTATCAAATGAGAATCTCTTAGCGAGCAAAATCAATGAAGAACTTACCTTGAAACTGAATCATGCTGAAACCTTAATAATGAATTATCAAGAAGAAGCGGAACAATTAAAATTGCACATTTTGGAACTACAACGAAAACTGATTAATGCAGAAAATAAAAAGGAAGTCATTACAGAAGGATATGGTGAAAGCGATCTTTCTAGGGGTGATATTGTGTTGCAAGATTTTTCTCAAGTACAAGAAAAAGGTAAATTTGTACTTGATTTTTATATTAATTAAGAACATATTAAAACTTCTATTTATTTCTTATATTCAAACATCTCATTTTTAAATTAATTATATTTTTAGATTAAAAATTTAAATTTATATTAAACATATAAATTGATGTTTATTCTTGTGTATTCCAAACATATTTTCATAGATAATACTAATATATTTTTAGTATTTTTTTCTATATGATATACTTATTTAAATTACAGCTAGACACGTATTATCTAATGGTGGCGGCGATATGTCTTATTTGTTGCAATTAATAGAGGAACTATGTAGACAAAATGATAAACTAATAGACGACGCTAGAAAAGAGAGAGAAGATTTACAACAACAGGTAAAATCTTTTATTATTTTTATCTAAAGTGCATTGTTGCATGATTTCTAATTATTCAATATTGGTATGTTAGTACGGTGATGAATATTGCGGTGTATTGAAAACATTTGTCTTTTAATTCATTAAGTCTACACACTTCTATATCTACGAGCTTCGTGTTTATATAATTTATATTGTACGTGTTTTATCGTGTAGCAACAATTAACATGAACATTTTATTTGTATGGCACATTTTTTTATACAATGCAATTATAAAAAAGTTTATATATCTTCCATTATTTTAATATTTCTTTTAATAAGTAGTAATCACAGAATTGGAAATAATTATATTATGCCCCCCCTACACACATACATATACACACTGTATACAGAGTATTTTAAGAAGCAAAATATTTAGAAACTTTGATCCGAGAATAATCTGTTGAAATAGAGATTTAAATCAATTTTTAAATTTCTAAGTTTTTTTTAAATTTTATCTTAAAGTTTTCGTTTTCTCCATTTTTATATTCTGTTTCTTAATCATTAAAATTTATGTGGTTTTATTGAGTTTTATTAAACAGATCTTTTGGATTTTTTTTAACAATTTAAAAATAAAATCGTATTTAATATTCATTTTTCTTTATATACTCTGTATAAAATGATGTTTAGTATTCCTCAGTATATTTGTAAAGCAGCCTGAGATTAGAACATTGTGCATGTGTATAATGATTTATATATATTTGAAAATATTATTTATTAGTAAAACGAATCAATTAATCATTCAATAAATGGCATCTCCAAAATCAAAAGTGCAGAATTCTGCGATGCAGGTTTTAAAAGATTGATTGGCGTTCTATTGTCTTGCCAGCAGGTACCTTTAGAACCTACTCCTACCCCATACATTCACAGGGTTTGCTGCAAAAAGGTAAATTATAGAATTACTAATATTATTGTAAACGCTGTTCGCGTAAGTTAAAATCCAAATCGGCTATAATAAATTAATATGTATAACATTCCATCGCAATTAAAGAGTGTAAAACAGCTTTTATTGAAATGCCATTTATCTCTTTCTAATGCCTGTCCATAAAAATAATTACACATTTGCCATATTGTTATTAAAAAAGGTATTATTGTCATATTTGCCAATGTTGTATGTTGTTAAAATGTAATAATTGCCTTGCATGCTACATTGTAAACATCAGAATGTGTTTGGCTTATAAGTGAATGTTTTTTTTTTTGTCATAGATCTTATTGTTTGTTATTTTTTGACATTTTTATTATAGCAACAATTAAAGAATCAAAGTAATAATTGAAAAAAGTTATGATTTTATAACACTCTAATTTTATTGTCACATATTTTATAATGATTACAATGTTTAAATTAAACAATGTTCTAATATATTTAGCTTTTATATAAAATAGTTTAAAAAAATAAGATTTTTTTAATTTTTTTGGATGCTTTAATTTTTAGCACCAAATAATTTTTAATGGTTATATTTATAAATTTTAAATAGTTACATCTATGCTTTAATATTAAAATAATTATTATTTTCCTTTGCTTTACTTTCAATATTTGTGATTGAGAGAACATTTAATATTGCTAACACTTTTTATCTTTATATTTTATTACACTGTTTCATTTCACTGTACTATTTCATTGTATATTATTATAAATGGGATCAACTCAATGACTAAACCCATTATTAAAATTATTAAATTATTATCAAAGATTACTTCTTTTAGAATTGTAGATATATATCCAACTAACTAAAAATTAATTTTATTTTCCTTTT